TATTAGTCATATTTTAGTTTTTTTGTTTATTAAAAAGCTTATCCCTAGATTACAATGCCCCATCACCACCATACCTCTTTTCCTTGAATGCCAATCTCCCTATACATAACTTATTTTCCAGCAATCCTCTAGCTGGTCATGTGTTGTTCTGGCTTTTCTTCACCTCTTCTCCAATGGTAGTTGGTCCTCAATGCTACAGAGAAGACCCCCCATTTAGCTCTTTCTCTCCTAAAAAGGACATATTATCCCAAGAGGGTACTCATAGGTTATGGTGCAGTCCCAGTTACTAGCCTGTTTTAATGGAGATCCCTTCTCTGCTCTCTCCATGGGCCAAACTCTCCTCAGTAACTCCAGCCACCTGTCCTTATACAATCACTAGGAAGTCTAAGTGACAAGTGTGTTGTCTGCTTGCAAACATGTAGGACCTTACCTTAAGGGGACAGTCCACCCCTTTAACATCGGTATGATGTATTCCGCATAAGGTCTGGTGAATTACCTGTCATTTCTGGAATCTGTTGCTTAATTTCCTTGATTTACACATTTTTTTAAGTTTTGGGTGGTGTGGCATAGGGTCAGATTACTTTCCTTGTGTCCCTGTTGGGAAATGTCACCTTCTGTTTGTGACTAAAGTGCATTTTATCCAAAACTTTTTTTTTTAAACTTTAATTTTGCAAGTCCAAGGTTGGACTTGATGGACTTACGTCTTTATTCAACCTCAAATACTATGTAATTTAAAATATTTCCATTTTGCTGTTGAATGGATATAACTATTAAGAAGCTATTGAAATCGGTATATATAAACAATCAACTTTTATTTTCTATCAGATAACATGAAACCAAATACCCAACAGCATAACATACTACATTCAGCTATTTGCATATTCCTCATGCAGAAATATAGCGGGAAAGTTACTGTTATATTGTGGGAGATTCCTACAGTTCAAAACTGCTCAGAAATGACATGCAGGCATCAATGGAGAAGGACACCATACAAACTACATTTGTTTTCGTTAAAGTGACACTAAACTCAGGAGTTAAATCCTAAAAATACATTCAAGTACCTTAACTATGAACAACATCTTATGTATCTTATTTGTGTATCACTCGGCTGTAGATCCTCCAATCATCTCTGAATTGGTGCTGACACTGTCCTTCTTTCTGGAGGGGGGCTTCTTTTGTTCCCCATGGTCCCTGTGTGTGTGTTGTAAAGTAATCACTGCTCCAAGCTTTCTCCTGGGATGGACTACAATCTCAATACAAATTAGTAAACTAAACATGAGATTGTAGTCCATCCTGGGGGGGGGGAACTTGGAGCGGTGACTACTTTACAATACACACAGGGACCATGGGGAACAAATGCAGCCCCCCTCCAGAAGGAAGGACAGTGTCAGCACCAATTCAGAGAGCAGCACAAATAAGATACATTGTTGTTGATAGTTCAGGGACTTGGATGCATTTTTAAGATCTATTTCCTGAGTTTAGTGTCACTTTAAGGTGATCTATTTTTTTCTACCATTATGGTGAGTTTTTAGTAATTGACCATTTTAGATGCAATTCTGAATGGCAGTTGTTCGGGTCTATGACAGATAATGTAACATTTAGGAAGGAAAATGCAGAACAATAACCCAGCACTGGATGACAAAATGGCAAATATCTCCATGGCCACCGTGTTCTTCCCCTTTGTGCTCAGGTAGGTGGGAACAAAGGCCACCCACACACTGGTAAATATCAATATGCTGAAGGTGATGTTTTTGGCTTCATTGAAACGGTCCGGGAAATCCTTAGCTAGAAAAGCAGCCACCAGACTTATCAGAGCCAAGAGTTCAATGTAACCAATTCCTAAAAAGAAGAAAGTAACTGAACCTTTGCTGCACAATAAAAGAATGGTGTCTGTATCTGTATTGGCATCTGGATATGGGGTATAGGACACAATCCATGTTACTGACAACAACATCTGAAGCAAAGAGCAGAGACAGATCAGGGCAATAGACCATCTAATGTTTAGAAGTTTCCTCATCTTGCTCTCGGGTTTTGTGGCATTAAAGGCAATGATGACTGTCAGGGTTTTAGCCAGTACAGACGAGATGGAGACAGTAAAGGTTCCTCCAAATGCTGCTTGTCGTAGAAGACAACTTATCTGTGATGGCCGGCCAATGAACAGCAAAGGACAGAGGAAACACAACATAAGAGAAACGAGAAGGATGTAGCTCAGACTTCGATTATTGGCTTTCACTACTGGAGAATCGTGACACTTCCGAAACATTCCAAAAACTGCCATTGTTGTCATGGAGAATAGCAAAGACGCTGAAGTTAAAATGATCCCTAAAGTTTCACAGTGGGACAGGAAGTCAACGTTCTTCGGAATACACCGATTCATTTCTTGATTGGGTTTCTCAAACTTAGAGCACTTTAAACACCTTTGGGAATCTGAAAAAGTATAATGTATTATAATGTATTTATGATATATTGTATATTTATTATGTGTATAATATGGCAGTGAATGCTGACAAGTGCTATTTATAAATTCACAGATTTCATTGAAAAAGAAGAACATGGCTAAAATGTTATATTGGCTCCTAAGCCCTTATTCACACGAGAAAAGGCCGGCACGTACAGCTCCGTGCTGTGTGCACGGCCGTAACGGGGAGCTCCCGGGAAGGACAGGTGCTGCGTGTGATTAGTATGCAGCCCCCGTCCTTGTCCTAGGACTACACGGTCGTACGCCCCCCTACGCTCACCTGCCCTGCACGTCCGTGTGGATAAACATACTCGTACTGTCAGGGTATTTCTATATAAAATTACAAAAACTGATGAACTATGACTTGTACAGAAACTAAATCAAACTTTTCTGTGCACTGTAATACAAGGGGCCAGAAGTCTGTGCTGGACAGATAAATTAATCAACCAAAATAGCCTATTGTGTACAAATTAAGCAAGACACAAACAATACAGGAGAGACCCTTTAGGAACCAGCTTTTGTACAACCAAACTGATTCAAAGAGGTAAAACATTGCAAATGAAGTCTAAGGATTAGATAATCATAAAACCACAATTGACAATACTGAGAGAAACTTAACTTCAAGGTCAATAATTACAAGTGTTTAATCAAGAAATACAAAGTCTAAGGATATCACAACTACAAATGAAAAATTAACACAAAACCCCTACAAACTCCAAGACAGTTAATCCACCCGATTGTTCCAAGAATGAGATTACCTGTGATTATTGTCTGAGGTTGAGTAAGTTATCATACACATCCAAGGCTTACGCAACTGAATGCAAACGATATGAGTGAAATAACCAATCAACTACCATTTCTGAACCGATCAATTGGAAGAAAGTAAATAGTGGTTGGGGAGTCGCCAATATGAACAATGCTTTCAAACCATATAAAATACCAAGAGGGAGGAAGAAATAAAGGAGGAAAGGGGGAGAGAAGGAAGAGTCTAGAGAAAACTTCCTGGATATAACAAAAGGACTGTCACTCAGCGACCAGTGCTAAAGACTTAACCCTTGCTTCCTAAAACGAGCCATCATCTCATCTAATAAGACTCTGAACATTTTCTTTTGAAGGATTGGTGAGATATTGATTATATATGAAGAATTAACTTTCTTTACTCCAAAATCATAGCGGTTACATTTTATTATTAGTGTTTTTTTTGTTGTTTTGCAATTCTAATTAACAGTGTGCAGGGTGAATTCTTGTGATCATTTTTCATATCTTTCTCTATTTTATTCCTGAGGTTGTATTGTGTATGGTTAAATTGGGTACAAAATTGTATGTACAGTAACTAGTTGCTATTGTAGGTATACTAGCCTGTTCGCTTGCTGTCCCTATTAGACTAGTGAACCTATTATCATCAGAAATCGTAAGGATCACAAGGGAATTTTTACTTTTGAGATACGTCTCTTTCTTTCCTATGGCCACGGGAAGTAAGAAACAATCTTAATGGTGTCTAGTTATTTTTATTTTTCTGATAATTTATTTCCATTTATTTCTTTGATTGGGTATTTGAATTGTAATCACCAGTAATTTATGTTTTGTACAGAAATATATGATTATACTCGTATATTAATAAATTATTTTGATTTATTAGTGTAATTGGGAGATATTTATATATTGTGGTAAGAAATCACCATAAGCTCAAAGAACTCAGGGAATTGGTTTGGGGTGTATTATCAAGTGTCTGAACTAAATTCATACTGTTTGTTAAGTTATTTATTACTTGCCGTAATCGGCTGGAGGCACTGGCTATTAAATCTAGATATAATTCAGACACCACCCTATTATTAATATTTCCCCAAGATTTTGTACCACTCAATCACAACAGTATGCTGACAGGATGGATCCTGTCTGCGTCCAAGCCAGGAAACACGCACCCCTACGGACCTGCATTTGAGGTGAGCGTAGGGGGGGCGTATGGTCGCATAGTCCCATAGCGAAGGACGGGGGCTGCGTACTAATCAAGTATAGGAACGTCACCAGCACACCAGCACGACAGAGACTTAGATGTCAGTGCAAATCCATTTATTTGGATCAAAGTATCATGATGATGCTGGTGACGTTTCTATACTTTATTGTGCTGAATGCGGCGCCATCCGCAGTCATTGCAAGCACCCATATATGCGTTTGGGAGTTCCGGTAAGGAGTGCTACAGGTCTTTGGACGTCTGGGTACTAAACACACGCGGAACCTGTCCTTCCCGGGAGCTGCTCGGTACAGCCCTGCATGCAGCAGAGAGCTGTACGTGTCGGCCGATTCCTGTGTGAATGAGGCCTTAAAGTAATATTAAAATCCCAAACTTTTCTTCAATAATGAATAAAGATCCAACGAACGTACATTTCCCAGCCAGGTAACCCTTTACATTTTTACCCAAGCACTTACACTCCTCATTAGGGATGCACCGAAATTAAATTTTGAGACTGAAACCAAAATGTCAACATTTTTCAGGCCAAAACCAAAACTGGCTTTTTTCCAACCTTTTTTTTATATTTTTTACAATTATTTTTATTTTATTTCCCTGGTTTTTTTTTTGTTTGTTTTACTTTACTTTACTGTTAGGGGCTTTGGGGAAGTCTCAGGGTCTAAACAGACCCCTGATATTTCACTTTTAAAATAGAAAAAGGATTGAGGACACAGAGTCCACAATCTCTTTTTCTGCAGCCCAAGCACTCAACGAACAGGAAGCTCTCAGTACAGAGGCTTTCTGTTCATTCACAATCTGGGGACAGTGAATATTCACTAAGCCCCCATTCATAAATAGACAGGAAGTAATGTAAAACACTTCCTGTTCATTCATAACAGGAGACATAGTAATCACTAGTATTGATTGCTCAGTGTTTGTGCTCTGCTCTCCATCCTGACTGCTCCACCCCTTCCCGCCTGTCACTGGTGCCAAACTCTCCTCCCTGCACCACCCCACTTGGCCTCCTGACAGCTCTCCTCCTCCCCGAACTGCCCTGCTAGGCATTATGACAGCTTCTCTCCTCCCCGCAGGGTGCCAGCAGCTGGATTGTCTCTCAGACAAAAATGCCCAAAAGGGGTAGGTGTGAGACAGCAGAGGTGCGCAGGTGGAAGAAATTATATGATCGTGTTTCTTCAACTTAGACTTTTATTCTATGAAAAACCCACATGACTATCACACTGTTAGAGGCTATCTGTTAGTGCGCATGTGCGGAGTCCCGTTTTCCATACCATTGGCGCACAGGAAGTGACACAATGTATCACAGCTCCCCTGTGTTCCTGTGATTCCTTGCCTTGTATTGCCAGACTTCTTACCTGGATTTGTTCTTGACCATTCTTGTGGATTGTTACTGGACTTTGCTTCTGCTTCATCCCTTTGTACCTAGCCTGCCTGACTAGAGTGACCTTGGCTAGTTTGACCTTGATTACGGATCTTGCCTGCTCTACAAACAGCACCTGGACCCCAACTTGCACAGTATGCCACTCGCTGTCTGCTTGGACTCTGTCCCCAAGTCCAGAGTCCTCGGGACCCGAGGTGCAAGAGAGGCCTCCTCACACATTCAGTCTCCAACCAGGTACATGACACACAGTCTCAATGGGTTTTGCGGCTCTGAGATGGCCACTTCTTCAGGAAGTGGCCATAGACCATACGGCTAAAGCTGAGCTTGGCTTTTCCCTGCTGTGTTGGCTGTCAATCAGAAGCCAGGGGGTGCATTATTTGTATTATTAATACCACAAAGCACAATGTGTGCATATAAAGTATGTGTTCATCGTGAATGATTACCTGTTATGTTGGATATTTCTCCAGGTGCACATTGGACACAGTCATAGCAACACGAGGACTCTCCTTCCCTTTCCACTTTTTTATTGCCCAATCTACAGGGTTCACAGCAACGACTCCATGGTGTCTGGATTAAATACATATATCAGTTTTTGAAGGGAATTGCAAAACAAATTAGTTGTCAGTCATCATCATCAGTAGCATAAGCAAGAGTAGTGGTGCCAATACAGTAGTGATAAAATGACCCAAAATTACCAGCGGCCCCCGAAGGAGTCACTGGTAATTTTGTGTCCCATTCCTGTTTAGCAGTTAATGACCCTTTTTCCAGCTCCAGCAACACTGACACTTCTTGTAATGACAGGTTCAAGTCGTAGGACCAGGCCCGGCGCTACCGCAAGGCAAGTCAGGCGGCCGCCTGAGGGCGCTGCAGGGTGAGGGCGGAAAAATAGGGCATTTTGACAAGTACTTGTACTTGTCAAAATGCCCCGATGTTTGCGCTATGGTTTTTTTTTTCACTTACCTTTGGTGCGGGAGAGCAGCGGCGAGTCAGCGCTGGTCCAGTGGGAGGAACTCCAGGTGGGGTCCTAATTTAGCTGGCCGGCGACTGCCAGAGGATCCCGACACGCGCGGCACCTCAGGCAGTCACCGGTCAGCTAAATTAGGACCCCATCTGGAGCTCCTCCCACCGGACCAGCGCTGACTCGCCGCTGCTCTCCTGCGCTGAAGGTAAGTGAAAAGTGAAGTGGGGGCGCAAAAATGCACCTTGCCTATGCAAGCAAGAATCCTAGCACCGGCCCTGCATAGGACCTTTTTTAGTATTTATTGATCAGTATCAAAACTCAAGAGGACCATAAGTTGCAGGATACCCAAAAACAGCAAAGTAGAGCAAACCATCTTCACGAATAGCAACAGGTCCTATAAGAGTGACCAAAAATATATTCTTGAACAGAAAGTAGCCAGGATAAATCTATGACTCTGGGGAGCAGTCACAATACTAGTAGGGCACCAACTGGCTTCTAATCTTCTTTATAGTAGTCATGGGCGAGAAGTGTCTCTTACAGGGTCCAGACAGCAGCTGTTCTTGGCTACTCTGCAACACTCCTCAGTAAGCAGATCCTTCCTCCAGCTAAGCCTCCTCTCCCCTCCCACTCTGTATGCTAGAGGCCATCCCAGCAGCAGGGGGAAATAATCAGTCCACCAGGTTTAGGTACAACCTGCAGAACACAGAACAATTGATGCAAAGACTGACTACAGTCCAGCCATAAACACACTAAATTTTGTAGCGACACAACTGTATACGGCAGGGGCCCTAGACAACTGAACATTGTAAACATGAAATGAACAATAATCGTCTTTCAATAAACAACACAAATTCTTCAACCACTGTACCTGATTAAAGTAGGGCCCCCACAGATGGGACGTATTGTAAAACTGTAGCTGGTCTCCAGTTGGGGAAGCTGCATCAAATTTTCCAACTTTAGATGATCTAAGTTTTGTAAATTGTTTGAAAATATGCTTCATTACATCAAAACACGCCGGGACATTTTTGTCATCATCAAAGTAAATTTTGTCTCCACAGGAAGTGGTGAAAAAAACATTTTGAAGGTAAGTGTTTAGCTAAAGAAGAATGTTCAATAATGTTTATTAGAAGGTTGATAAACTCTATGCAGCTAGATTTGGAATTCCCTTTTATACATTGTTATCCATTCATTATTTCTATACTATAATTATATCTGTAATATCTAGCTAAGGTGCTAAGTGTGATCCTTGACTCCCACCTCACCTTTCTGCCCCACATCCAATCACTATCTAAATCCTGCCACCTTCACCTTTGTAACATTAACAAAATACGCCCCTTCCTCACCAATGAAACCACAAAGCTGCTCATCATTTTTAGTTTTGGGTTTAGTTATCCTTTCGTTATAGGATCTATTTGCTAGTGTTGATATTTATTTACTCTAAGATCCTGTTCCGTACATTAGAGCGTTTGACCTGTCCCTCAATGTGTGCTTCAGGTGAAAGTCTCTATAAGTTTGCAAGTTCTAAAAAACATTGTTGGGTTTTTGATCCTGTGATAGCATTTTTTCCACTTTTGGATTATATTTCATATTGTGTGGCTTGCTACAAGTAAAGGTACATTGTATCTGCTCTATTCCTTCCTGAACAACTCCATTCCTGGGGAAAATGTGTGGTGTACCAACCACACGTGTGGCTGTTTATTACATGTTATCTTTTTGGATGCCGCTGCCATAAATTTAGTAGGTTTGGTTCTTTTCCACACTGGCACCAGAGTCATCTCACCTTCCATTGTTTGAAATAAGTCTGTAAACTCTCTGAGGTATTAATAAAAGTCATCATATCATGAAGAGATTGGGCCAGAGCATAAGTGGCAGTGTAAACTCCATAGGAAGTTCTGAGGGTAAAAAAGTTAATCATTCTTAAATAATCCTCATTTATGGTCTCATTCCCCGTACATTTAGGAAGTGATGTGGTATTATCCAAGATTACTGCACAACCTGCTATTTGTTCCCAGATATGTCTAGTTAGTGGATCGCTCAGGTTTTTGGCACCTAGGGTGTTATGAAAGTATTCCTTGAAACCTTTGATTTCTCTTTCTCGAAAAGAAAATGTCAAGCTTCCATTAAATGTTTTCCTGATGTTCAGACGACTTAGCTTTGTGACGTGATGGAAGAACGAAGATGTGATCCAAAATTTATTTTGCATATTGGGTAAAGCAAATGTGACTGCAAACTGTTTTGCAAAATCTTCATGTAAGAAAGCCACAATGATATTAGCGGTGCTGCTATTGATCTTTTCAAGAAGTTCTTTTTTCCAATGAAAGCGGATCTGGTCGCCATTTGGAATTGCCATCAAAAAGGCCACACAGGCTCCAGATTTGGAAATTTCCCTTTTAATGATCTCACCAGCCCTTAGTCCTGTGTCATCGTCTGATACAAGGATTCCAACCCATTTCCAGCCAAAATGTTTCAGGAACTTTTACAACTGCATCCACTTCAGATAACTCATTGGGGAGAGTCCGGTAAAATGTTGGAAAATGCAAGTTGTTCCCAGTCAAAGGACTCATGGATCCATAACTGATCTGTAAGTATAGGTAAGAAGTATTAGAATCTCCAAAATCTCTCCTTACCTTACTGTGGACCTGACAATGTGTTATCTTAAAAGGAGCAACTGGAAATGTTAATTGTGCCTAAGCGACATCCTAAAAGATTTACCTTTTGCCTAGAATTCCCCCGGACAATTAGCAGTGAACCACCTGTGCCTACAAACTCATACTTCAGCTGTATATTTGCAGCATTGCATCATCTAAGGCACTGCTTCCTCTACTGCTAGTCTCACAGATTTGAAATGAGATTTGGTAATGTAACTCACTATTCTCCTTGCTGGAGAGCAAGCTGTAACTGAGGACCTCCGGTATAAGGATTTCACTGATTGTGCTTTATTCTTTCTGTGGATGTGTGCTTCCCCCACCTCTCCCAATGCTTCTTCATCATTCCTTCACCAGTAATCCTATCACCAGCCATTGAGGGGGATCTCTGACATGAGGACGTAAAGCCCTGCCTCTACCAAGATGTCCACCTTTACACAGAGACACAGTGCAAACAAGGCATGGTAAATCAGTAATGCCATATGCTATGTTAATGATGATCATGTGAGGATGTGTTTAAGGGCCTGTGTCAATGGACGTTGGGCTTGTGTCAGTGACATCAGTTTGACATTTGTTTTAAAAGCTTCTAAGAGAATTCAGAAT